CTTTCGACTTCGTACTTGCTTTTGTACTCTTCAATTGCTACTGATAGGAATGCACAATGCTTCTCAATTTATTATTCGTAGGAGATATAATTAGTTATTAGGAGATATTGAGGCGCAAGACGAGAAATCTTGTATTGGTAGTTTGTGATAACTGGAACTAATAATAATGAAACATTTTTTCTATCAGTATAGAAAAGTAACTATTTGGCGGTGTACATGTTTACAAACTAGGTTTTTTATTGAGTCGACTCTTGAAGCGGTACTTCTACTGTGTCATGTGAATAGTCATAATACTATTTGCACTACTACCTGTTGTTGGAGAAAGTAATTTGACTTATACAATTCAGTAATTCGATACTATAAACACTACAGTAGTATCATAGTATTATTATGTATGCATGTTACTGTAGCAAGTGTCCCTTCGTGTGAGTAACAGGTAGTCGTGCAAACAGTCTCACGCCTGTTCGCGTGATACAGGAAAGTACCAGTGCAGGAGTCGCCTCGATAAAAGCTCTGTTCACGAATAGAAACACCATTAAAAGGTACATTGCTATGTCAAAGAACTGAACGAGAATGATGGCATTGAACAGAAAGTTGGTACAAGTACTAAACCTAATTGGGTTGTACCCCATATGGGCTGTCAAAAAGTGAAAGCGATAATGGTGAAACTAGCAGTATGCAGGAGTACAAGTAGCAAATCCTAATGGGGTTGTACCCTATATGGGCTACCCCACTACAGCCTACACAACATGCAACATATAAGTTTGACACGCCCCCATAGGCAAAGTGGGGGAGAACAAGCGGTCCCAAGACCAGTCAAGCAAAACAAACCAAGCTCAGGGTGGATCACGAAGTCACCACACACTCTGCACACAAGCAAATGGCCACAAGGCCATTTCACATGCAGAGTTATAAAATGAGAACAAGCAGTACAGTGATCAAAACCTAGTAAGTGTAAGCATGCAGGTATAAGTATATAGATCACAATACAAACAAAGTCAAGAAGTGAGCAAGTGCGGCCAAGTAGGCACAAGGCCTAAAACAGTACAGAAACGTTGATGATCACAAGGCTGAAGTGCCTTGGTGAATATATCAGCAGTGTTGGCCCGAGAGGTCACGTAAGCAAGACGAAGCTGACCACGCTGCTGCAACTCTCGAGCAAATAACGCAGGGCAATGTGCTTCATCCTGTGCTCCAGTCTGTGCTCCTGACACAAGGCAAGCATGGCCTTGTTGTCTACATACAGAACTGGAGGAGAAGTAGGTCGCTCTCCCAAGTCGGTCAGCCGGTAGGTGAGCTAGCGTAACTCTTGTGCAGCCATGGCCCCTGCGTAGATCTCAGCCTCACAACTGGAACTGAGAACAGAAGACGAGTGGGTAGACCGCCAAGAAACAGAATCGAAGCCAAGGCTGAAAGTGTAACCCTGTGACGACCGCTGCGTAGCCAAGTCGTCAACCTAAGATGCGTCAGCCTGGCCAGTGAGAACAACTTGACTCCGTCCTCCAAGCACGAGCCCCATACCCAACGTACTGCACAAGTAGCATGACACCCTCTTAGCGGCCTCCCAGTGCTCTCGTCTGTGTCTCCCGGGCACAATGTAGCGTGCCAGGATGTTGAGAGGGTATGCAAGGTCAAGTCGAGTGCAGGTCATCAAGTAAATAAGGCAGCCCACATGCTCTGGATACGGGCCACTCGGCTCTACGGACTCGTCCGAAGGTGGAGCTGAGAGCGAGTGAACGGTAGGCAGAGGAGTGGACTATGGCGAGGACCAAGTGAAGCCGAAGCGCTGAAGGACCTCTTGCACCATGTGTGAATGAGCCAGGGTGATTGTGTGGCGTGCTCTGTCCCGGGTGATCTGCAAACCAAGATAGCTGCGCAGCTCACCCAGGTCTGTGCACGTGTGTCTCTTCTGCAGCTCCGACTTCACTAGAGTCAATGCCTCAATGTCAGCAGTAGCAAAAATCAATTCGCCGACGTACACGAGGATGTAGAACGGCGGCAGCGAAGTGTTGGTGCTCAGGACCAGCGACGGGTCAGCAGTCAAAGGAGCAAACTCAAGAGCCCCAAGAGTCATCCTCAATGTGTCGTGCCACTCGCGAGGCGCCTGGCGGAGACCGTAGACTGGCCGCCGAAGGCTCCACTGGGTAACTACAAGAAACGACCCAGTGAAGCCAGGTGGGCGGCGCAGCCAGATCTCCTCGTGCAGAGTGCCCTGTAAGAAAGATGTGCTGAAGTCAAGAGAGTGAAGCTCGTAGTCATGCTGAGCAGCGACGTGCAGCAGCACCCAAAGAGTGGTCATCTTCGGGGTAGGGGAGAAGGTCTGGAAGAAGTCCACTCCCTGTCGCTGACTAAAGCCTCTAGCAACGTAACAGCCTTGAAGGCAGGCGGAGAACCTGGCAGCCCCTTCACCCTGAAAATCCACATGCTATCGACTATGTTCACCCCAGGAGGGGGAATTGCGTCGACGCAAGTGCTTGTGGACTTCCAAGATGCCATCTCTGCGTCCATGGCTATCTGCCACTGTGAGGAGAAGGGACCCGTAATCGCCGCTGCGTAAGAGCGCGGGGTCGGGATGTCTTGAGCATCCAGGTCTCCCTCAGGTGCAGTCAGCATGGACACGAGATGAGGTACAGCAGCAGCAAAGCACTCAAACTCCTCCTGCCTGTCCTCAAGTACGTCCGTGCCAAGAGCACACTCACCCCCAACGGATGGAGGACAGACAGACTCAGACTCAGCAACAAGACTAGCGGCGTAGTCGAGAGGACAACAAGCAGCAAAGTCAACAAGCTCAGTAACTAGGGCAGACGCACCACTTTCAACCCCTTACCACAACCCCAGCGCCAACTACAAACCGGACAACAAACCTCTGTCCCCTACGGGACTTCAACTGTACTAGCAGCAACTGGGTTGCCTGCAGTTCGCCTCTGTCACCTGCCGACCCGACCTTTTGTACATCGCCTGCCATGTGGCACAATATTCTCGCAAGCCAGTAGCTGAGAACCAGCTGGACCTGAAGCGCGCCCTGCAGTACTTCATCTCCACACCTGACATCAAGCTCTCCTACTCCACGCTGACGACGACCTCCTTCAACCTCAATGGCTACGTGGACGCAGATCATGCCGCTGATCCAGCGGATCGACGGTCTCGAACCGGCTTCATTTTTCGTCTATAACCAACCGGACCAATCTCCTGGAACTCACAAAAGCAGGAGCTGGTTGCCTTATCATTGGCTGAAGCAGAATACATCGTCGCGACAACAGCAGTTCGCGAAGGCCTGTATCTGTAAGAGCTGCTACAGGAAGCGAAAATTCCAACTTCGCCTACCTTTCGCCTTTACTGCGACAACCAGAGCGCCATCAAGATCGCGAACAAGCGAGGTTTCGTGAACCGCACGAAGCACGTTGCGCTTCGGTACTTTTTCGTCAAGGACGAGTTTGACCATGGGAAAGTTGATCTCGCGTACTGCCCAACCCTCGAGATGGCAGCCGATTTCCTCACCAAGCGACTGCCACGTCAGCAACACAAACACTGCTCTGACCTCACCGAAGTAGTCAAGCGAGTCAGCCCCTTGTGCGTCCAGGAATGAAGGGGAAGGGGATTGTTACGATATGAAATTATATGAGAATGCATTCCTGTATGCTGCATTAGCTGAATTTACCGAGTACGAAGTCGAGGAGTCAGAAGAGTGGAAACGACGCAGCAACCGTCTGACTAAGACCGATGCAGGCAGAAACATTTGAAATGAAAAGAGCGGGAACATGTTTTTGAAATGGGTTCCCGCGCCTCACGGTTTAAAATCGCTGCAATAAGGGAATGTACCCCTTAGAGTACATGGCTAGTCTAGGTCTTTTCGTATTCTCCTGTATTCTTATATAAACCCGAGGTATGCATACAATTATCAATATCAGTCATTTACATTCACTCTGACCTGAGTTCACTACCGTACTTCCGCTGCAACACTATCCTGCGATCAACCCTGAGCGATCCTTCGATAAGTACCACTTGGGATTGTAACAATCCGTAATTTGCATATCCGTGTACTAATACTTGAAATTGCTATACATACATTAGTAAGTTTTGATTTCGAACTTTTATAGTGGGCTAGCCAAAAAAAAAATCCATACGTACACCTGGACCTGCCCACAACGAATATGCGATTCCGCGGTGAGATCTACTCTCCAGGACTTCCATCCGAGTCGGTCGGTGATCCAATTTGAATCTACGTCTTTCCCTCTCCACTGGCAGCTGGGATTTTTTATCGTATCAGTTGAGGATCACAGTTAGGGAGACGATTGGCAGCTTCCATGGCTTCGCGTAGGGGCTGAGGTTCGCGTTTTACAAACGCGGCCGGCGCATGCGGATGGTCGTGCGTCTTAGATTCGGTGTTGCCCGAGAGTAGGCACGTTTGTCCTTCTTACGAGTCTCCCGTTTTACGGCTCTGTCGAGCATTGCTTGTTCAATTGATCGGAAGTGTGTCCGTCCAAGCAGCGTCTTCCGGAACCTCTGGAAGATTCCGCGCAACCACCCGCTTCACGATTCCCGATTTAGGTTCAAAACTCCTTCTTCAGATCGTTCTTTCTCTAGCCGCCGCTTCTAGCAGTCGCCAGTCCCTCCCATTCCCCCACATCTCCCCGCGTCTCCCCCATCTCCCCGCGTCTCCCCCATCTCCCCAGCATCCACGCCCCATCCGCCCACCCATCCTCCTCCCGACCGCCATGTTCACGTCAACCACGCGGCGCCAGCCCGGCGGCGGCGGCGGCAGGCACCGCGGGCTGTTGACTCTCAACTCAACGTTTCAAGCGTCCGTCCCCTCGGGCGCCTCGTCCTCCGCCGCCTCGCTCTTCTCCTGGTTACCCGGATTCGCGAATGCGACGCCGTACCGTCGCGTGCCTTCGTCGTCGTCGTCGTCGTCCGCCTCCGCGGCAGGCCCGCTCCGATCGCCTGGACACAGCATGACCGGCGGCGGCGGCGGCGGGGGATTCGGGGCGTTTCGGCTGAGCATGCCGGGGGGCGATGCGACGGGCGGCGCGGATAAGCGGCGCGGGAGCGTGGCGGTGTGCTGCGTGGTGGTGCTGCTGATCATCGCGCTGGCGTCGGGCGGCGGATCCGCCATCTGGGATGGTATAGGGGCGGGGACAGGGGGCGGGGGAGGTGGAGGGGGAAGGGGAGGGGGAGGGGAGGGGAGGGGGAGGGTAGGGGTACGTGGAGGGGGAGGGGTAAGATATAAAGGGAGGGGGAAAGGAAGGGGGAGGGGGAATTTGGGGGGGGAAGGAGAGGGGGAGTGGAAAGAGAGGTAGGGAGGGGAAGGAGGAGGGGGAAGGGGAAGAGGGATTCATTGATGTGAATGGAACTCCCACTGACCACATTCTCACTCAATACACTCCTCCATTTTCGTTCCCAATCCCCCTCCCTCCACCCCCATCCCCAACCCATTTCCCACCCGTCTTTCCTTCCCCCTTTCCCCCAGCCTTCTCCGCCGGTCCTTCCTACGTGTCGCTCTCCGCCACCCCCGACCCCGCGTCGCTGCGCCCCGAGCGCGTGTTCGCGCAGCCGCCGTGGCGCGTGCGCGACGGCAGCGAGGCGGGGTACCTGTACGGCTGGACGGGGCCCGCGCTCGCGTACCGCATGGCGTGGAAGCAGCCCGCCGCCCACGGCGGAAGCGCAGGGGCGGGGGGGAATATTTCCGCGGACGAGTTCGCGCTGGCGATGCGCGTGGGGGGCGTGCTGCGGCGCGTGGGCGTGTCGACGGTGGCGGCGAGCGGGCACACCCTGGCAGTGACTCCGGGGGGCGTGGTGCTGTCGTGGGGGCGCGACTGGGACGCGCGCAGACGCCCCGCGGGGCTGCTGGGGCGCGCGGACGGCGCGTTTTGGCGGCCTGCGCCGGTGGAGGGGCTGACGGGGGAGGGGCAGGTGGTGGCGGTGGCGACAGGGCAGTATCACTCCGTTGCTGTAATGGAGAGCGGACGTGTGTTCACGTGGGGGCTCAACAACAGGGGGCAGCTGGGCCGACCAATCAAGAGCAAGGTGCGACGGGCTGTGTGGAGAAGGGGAGGTGTAGAAGGGAGGAGGGGAGTGGTCGGAGGGAGACGGGGTGGGGAGTGGGGAGGGTTGGGCGGGAGAGAGAGGAGGCTGAGGAGGGTGGGATTTGGTGGGAGGGGAGCCGAGCGGGAGCGTGTGGGAACGGATATAGGTGGGGTTATGAGGAGTTGTGTGGCTCAAAGTGGCCAACCAACGAAGATCATATTAGCTGTGCATCCTCATCACTGTTCCAACCCTTTCTACCCTACTCTGAACACCCAACGGTTTTTCCATCCACGTCCCGTTCCCACCCACCTCTTGCGCACTTTCCCATTCGCACAACAGCTCGCTGCATGCAAGCCCACACTCTTGCAGACGGAAATGAATCACAGAAACCGCCTCCTCATCCCTCTCCCTCCCACCTCTTCCTCTCCCTCCCACGTCCCGCCCCATCCCTTCCCTCCCACATCCGCCCCACCCTGTTCGCACATCCACCCGATCCCACCCCATCCCACCCATCCCCACATCTTACCCCACCCCTCCCAGGAGGACGGCTTCCGGCCGGGGCTGGTGGGAGGGCTGCTGGCCCAGGAGCGAGTGCTGGCGATAGTGGCAGGGCGGTACTTCACACTCGCCATCTCGCAGCACGGCCGCCTCTTCACCTGGGGCGCCAACCTCTACACCGGCGACGCCCCCTGGCGCCACGAGCACGACTCCGGCTTCGATGACGATGCCGATGCTGCTGCTGACGAGTTCCCAGAGAAAGGACCCGCGGGCACGGCCGGGAGCAGCAGTGAGAGGGAGGCGTGGCGGCAGCGGCTGAGAAACGCGGCGCTGGCAGCGGCGCAGCCGAGGGTGGTGGAGGCGGGGGTGGAGGGGGAGCAGGTAGTGGAGGTGGATGTGGGCACGGACCACTGGGTGGCACTCACAGGGTCGGGCATGGTGCTCGTGTGCCACACTGGGTTCACTCCTCAGGGGATTCGGGTTGACCCTGAGCAGCACAGATCGTGGCTGGGAGTGGCGCCCGGGGTTCCCCTGGACCGCCCTGCTGCTGTGCGCGTGCCCCCGCATCTGGGCTCCCATCCTGCTGGTGGTGGTGGTGGAGGGGAGGAGGGGAGGGCGGTGGGGCCGGAGGTGCAGTCAGTGGCAGCGGCACACCACACGACGTTTGCAGTGACGGCGGATTACAAGGCCGTGTCGTGGGGCGAGGCGGGGCCACTGCTGGGGCGAGTGTTGGGGGAGGGCCAGGGGCAGGTGCCCGCGAATAAGCCGGGGGTTGTGGGGAGCGGAGCAGGGGGAGGAGGGCCAGTGGGAGGGGAGGGGGTGGTTGGGTTGGATCGGCAGACGGTGGAGCAGGTGTCGGCTGGGGAGGGCTTTGCTGTGGCGAGGCTGAGCCATGGCGTGGTGTACTCATGGTGAGTGGCGCAGTTCTGGCCCAGACCAGACCAGACCAGACCAGAGCAGAGCACTGCCTGGTGAAAGCATTGGGCACCCCCGCGCCAGTGCAGGGGCTGGAGCAGCTGGAGGTGCTGCTGGTGGTGGCAGCCTGCTAGCATGCTCCAGCTTCCCCTTCCCTCTCCTCCCCCTCACAGCATTGTCTCAACAGCCGAGACTCATCCCCACCATTCTTACCCCCCCATTGTAATCCCCCTGTACCCAAACCCCCCGTTCCCAACCCCCTGTCTCAACCCCACCCGGGTCCTCCCTCCTCTCCAGGAGTGACAACCAGCACGGGCAGCTAGGCCGCCCGGTGTTCTCCCAGGACGGCAGCCCTGCGCCAGTGCACGGGCTGGAGCACCTGGAGGTGCTGCTGGTGGTGGCGTGGCGGACTAGTGGCGTCCTTCCCTTCCCCCCCCCTCCTCCTCTCCCCTTAGCACCTTCTTTCAACAGCCCCACTGTTGTCAGCCCCCTGTTCTTAACCGCCATTCCCGATCCACCTGCTCCCAACCCCCCCGGCCCTCCCTCCCTCCCTCCAGGGGCGACAACCAGCACGGGCAGCTGGGTCGCCCGGCGCCCTCTCAGGACGGCACCCCTGCACCAGTGCAGGGGCTGGAGCACCTGGAGGTGCTGCTGGTGGTGGCGGGGTCGCAGCAGGGCCTGGTGCTGTGCCGCGCACTGCAGGGCTCTGAAGCCGCCCTGGAGCCCCAGGAGTTTGACGACACACGCGTGCTCAATGAGGAGCATGTGTCGCCTGCATCGCTGCCTGATCCCGATGCTTCTGCTCCTGCTGCTGCTGTGCCTGTGCCTGGTGGTGCTGGTGGCGTGGGAGCAGGGTTTGGTGCAGCAGTGGGTGCAGCAGTGGGTGCAGCAGGGGGAGCAGTACGGGCTATGGTGGCGGGTGGGGAAGGAACTGCTGTGGCGAGTGCAGCAGGAGGGGGTGACAGTGGTGCGGGGGAGAATTGGGGGGAGCGAGTCGGGGGAGGGGCGTCAGCAGCGGAACAGGGGGGGACGGGAGGGGAGGGGGCAGTGGCGCGGGACATGTGGATGAAGTTTGGGGAGGAGTTCAAGATGCTGCCCCGGCAGGGCATGGACAGCAGCATGCGGAACCCATGCTGGCGCGTGCAGGCAGGCAGTGCGGCGGGGGGGAGTGCGGGCACGGAGGGAGGGGCAGGACCTGAGGTGCACTGCCTGCCGTACTTCTTCATCATCGGTGCCACCAGGTACCTCCCTCCTCCTTCCTCTTTTTTTTCTGTCTTAAAATGAGCCTTAGAGAATTTTCTACGTGAGGGAGGGGGGCCTGAAGTGCACTGCCTGCCTGCCTGCCTGTCTGCCAGCCGACTGTACTTCTTCATCATCGGTGTTACCAGGTACCTCCTCTTGCCGCTTTCCTCTTTACTATCTGGAATATGCAATTTCCTTCGTCTCTTTTCACCACCTGTTGGCCCCATCAGCTTTTGCAATCACACTTGCTCCTGCACATAAAGTTCAACCATCCCTCACGGCTCCTTCCTGCACTCGCTCCTGTCCTTCCTCCTTCCTCCTTCCTCCCCCCCCCCCCCCCCCCCCCCCCTTTCTTGCTCACGTTGCCTACATGCCTATCCATTTCACATCAACTCACTCGCAGGGCGGCCACGCAGGATCTGTACCGCAAGCTCACGTCCTCCATCACGCCTGCTCTCTCTTTCTCGTTGTCCCATCTCCCCGCCCCACAAACATCCGTACATGCGTATCCCTCCCACCATCGCAGGGCGGGCACGCAGGACCTGTACCGCAAGCTCACGTCCTCCATCATCCCGGGCATATTCCCAGCCACCATCCCCAACCCCCAGTGGTACGCCCCGCCCTCTCCCCACCTCACGTCAAGGTGACCTTATCCAGAACAAAGCACAGCACAGCAATTGTTTTGTCACGTCCTTATCCTCGGATTGGACAAACCAGTCCCTGTGCTACTACTCAATCCCTCTCCTGCTATCCTCAACTCTACACAGTCACTCCCCTACCTCTCCTCTTCTCCTGCTCTGCAACTCCAACCACCCTTCTCAACGTGTGGCCCTCTCAAGGCACAACACAGTCTTCAACAAGGGCATGTGGCGTACAGTGGACAGGGTGTGACACGCCGTACCCTCTCCTCCCCATCCCTAGACCACCTCAACCCTTTCAGGTGGGATCACAACGGCCCGAAGGTCTTTGTGACAAGGTGGCGCAGCACATCCAAATCGCTACACTCCCTCCCTGCCACCACATAACCCCGCTCCCCTCCACTCTCCCTTCCCCATCCCTGCCCTCTCCTGCCTCCACTCCCCCGCCACTCCATCCCCGCCCTGCCTTGTGCAGGTGGGACCGCAACGGGGCACACTTTTCAACCAGGTCATGTGGCGTACTGTGGACAGGGTGTGACGTGCCTTACCCTCCCCTCTCCCATCTCTGACCTACCCCAACCTCTCTCAGGTGGGACCGCAACGGTGCACGGGACTTTGCGTGGTACGTGTCGCTGTTTGACGAGGCTGCGCAGCACATGGTGAACACGGGGGGCAGCGCGGTGACGGGCGAGGCATCCAGCACGCTGCTCACCAGCTCAGGCGTGGTGCTGCGAGGCCACGTGGACGACAGGCACACAGTGCCGCAGCTGCTGCACCTGGTGCTGCCGAGGAGCAAGTTCATTGTCATCCTCCGGAACCCAGTCGACCGCTTTTTCTCCGAGTTTAACCTCGCTGCCGCTGTCGACCCCTCGCCCTCCGTTCCCAAGGACTTTCATAAATACGTGAGTGCTCGCACTGCACTGCATCACACCGCATCACACTACATCATTTTGCACTGTTTGCCCCCGCTCTCCCGTATCTCAATCCCTCCCCGTCCCCTTCCTGTCCCTCCGCACACCTGCTATGCAATTCGATCTCGCTTTCTCTATTTGCATCTCTCCCACAATGCTTTCTCACCCTCGAATAGTCCTTGTATATACATGAGGCTACAGGGCAATGTAAGGTGAGTACATGACAGGCAAAGCTATGCCCAGAACCGCCTTACACGAGCTCGCAAGCCGGCCCCAGGGCCTGCATCAAGCCCCCCCCCAAGTCAATGGGCTCATGAAGCACGTCGATGGGCTCCACCCGTGCTGACCACCAAGGCAGTGTGGGACTTGGCCGTGCTCGTACCAGCAGTGTAGCACAGGCCAAAATTGTTCCTGCGGGCACCGCCACCTGTGGTGCATCTGCTGGCGCAGGCCCAGTGGGCGCCTGGGCTCGCTGAGGATCGTGTGGTGGCAGAGTGAGGGATGCAGCAGCGGGGACGGCGGCAAATCCGTCATGTGCAGAGCCCTAGTATAAGAGCCCCGTGCGGTGTCAGTGGGGTGGCCCGGATCAGCGTGAGCTCCCTTTTAGGTGGTGCTTGAGCGTTGAAGGGGGCGCAACTAAGGGGGCACCGCGCAATATGGCCGTGCAAGGGGACATTCATTTGCGCCAGGGGCATGCTCCGGCCTATGTATAGAGGTGGTGGCAGAAATGTGGGGGTGGAGTGGAGTATGCCTGGGGGGCGAGCGATGGGTGACTGTCCCGCAAGGGTGGTGGTGACGGACCACCCCCAGTCCATGGCGTGAATTGTTGAGATGCTCTTGGGGACAACCACACCTAACCCATGAGTGGGAGTGGGTGGAGAGCTCAATGGAGCGGCCGGTGCCTGGTCGGCCGAGGAAGAGGCCGTGGTGTAAATGCTGTAAATGCTGGTGATGGCTGCGTGCCAGTGCTTCGTCTTATTGATAAGACCGTGGTGTGGTTGTTGGAGAGTGGGGCCGTAGCAGAGCAGCTGTATGGCGGAGCGGAGGCGCCTGCTGCATGGAAGGCTAGCATAGAACCGCCGGCACCGTAGTAGGTCCATGGAGCTGCTTCAGGCCGTCCATGGTTGCTCACGACTTGCGTGTGTGTTTTATCTGCATTTTAAACATGCTGCAGTCTGTACATAGTGTGCTGTCGTCCTGTACAGCGCGACCGAAGCCCGTGGCCAAACTACTGAAGATAAAACAAAAGAAATGTCTCACCCTCACTATTTACTCTCCTCCTCTATCCCACCTGCCTTTCTTCGTTCCATATTCCCCCTCCACCAATTACTTCTCAAACGGTCCTTTGTATCAATGAGGAGATTGGTACAGGCTGAGTGCGCTAGAGAAGACAATGTCTGCTAACATGCAGTTCTGACTCCATACATCCGTGTGGAGAAGAAAGCACTGCATGCATTTCCAAATCTCCGTAAGGCATTTGCAAGCCCCTTCCCTGCACCTCCCCTTCCCTTCCCCTTCCCCTTCCCCCTTCTCTACACCAACCTCCACGTTTCCCCTTCCATACACCTTCCTCCACCGCCCCAGGCTCAAGATGCCACAGCGCGCATGAGTGCGTGTGTGGAGAAAGAGGGTGCGCATGCGTGTGTGCGGAAGCTGTTTCGAGACATGCCGGACCTGTGCGGATCATTCTATGCTTACTTCATTCAGGTGTGTTGTCAGTCTACACATGCATGATAATGACTGATTAATTGCTTGATTTCCTAGGCTAATAATTAATTGCTTATGGGTTGAACATACGATGGGTTGAGCACACGGTGGGTTGAACACACGGTGGGTTGAACACACGGTGTGTGTTCAATGAGTTGAACACACGGTAGGTTGAACACACGATGGGTTGAACACACGGTGGTTTGAATACACGGTGGTTTGAAGACACGGTGGGTTGAACACACGGTGGGTTGAACACACGGTGGGTTGAACACATGGTGGGTGGAACACACGGTGGGTTGAACACACGATGGGTTGAATAAACAATGGGTTGAACACACGGTGGGTGGAACAAAGTGGGTTGAACACACGGTGGGTTGAGAACACGGTGGGTTGAACACACGATGGGTTGAACATACCGTGGTTTGAACACACGGTGGGTTGAACACAGGGTGGTTTGAACACATGGTGGGTTGAACACACGGTGGGTGGATCACATGTTGGGTGGAATACACGGTGGGTTGAGCAGACGGTGGGTTGAACACAAAGGGAGTTGAACACACTGTGGGTCGAACACATGGTGGGTTGAGAACACGGTGGGTTGAGAACACGGTGTGTTGAACACACGATGGGTTGAACATACTGTGGTTTGAACACACGGTGGGTTAAACACACGATAGGTGGTTTGAACACATGGTGGGTTGAACACACGGTGCGTGGATCACACGTTGGGTGGAATACACGGTGGGTTGAACAGACGGTGGGTTGAACACAAGGGGGGTTGAACACACGGTGGGTCGAACACATGGTGGGTTGAACACACGGTAAGTTGAACACTCGGGGGGTTGAACACACGGTGGGTTGAACACATGGTGGGTTGTACAGACGGTGGGTTGAACACACGGCGGGTTGAACACACGGTGGGTTGAAAACATGGTGGGTTGAACACATGGTGGGTTGAAAACATGGTGGGTTGAACACACGGTCGGTTGAACACATGGTGGGTTGAACACACGGTGGGCTGAACACGGTGGGCTGAACGACACACGGTGGGTTGAACACATGTTTGAGAGTACGACGGCTTATGCCAGCAATGCTTGTTTGACTTCACTTTATTGTGCTATTTTTAGCATATGATAATTATATGCATGATTTCCTAAGCTATGTGCTTGATAATTAATTGTTTGATTACACATGCATGATAATGACTGATTAATTGCTTGATTTCCTCTCTCCCCCGTCCCCCCCACTGTCAGGACTGATTCCACTCCTTCCACCCACAGGCCTTCTCTTTCTCCAGTTGAGGACTTACATGGCCAACCCACACCGAGCCACACCACCAGCCCCTCTCAACACACCCCAGTCCCCTTCATCCACTCCCACCCCCCCGTCCCCTCCCCTTTTCAGGACTGGTTCCGCTCCTTCCATCCCCAGGCCTTCCTCTTCCTGCGGTTTGAGGACTACATGGCCAACCCCCGCCCACACATCGCCCAAACCCTCGACTTCCTCGGCTTCCCCTCTGCTAACGTGGCGGAGGAGCAGTGGGCGGGGATCGTCGACCTGGAGCGCGTGGAGCAGCGGCCGGAAGGCATGGCGAGGGAGGAGCTGGATGGGGTCACAAGGGAGTACCTGGAGGCGTTCTTCGCGCCTTTCAATGCAGATCTGGTGCGGTTGCTGCGTGATGAGAAGTATTCGTGGAAGAGAGGGCAGAGGTGATAGGGGATGGGTGGAGAGGAGAGAAACAAGGGGGGAGAAGGGGGGGGGGGGGGGGGGGGGGTGGGGGAGGGGGGGATGGGGAGAGGGGGGTTAGGGAGGTAAGGAGGTGGGGGTGAGGGGAGTAATGTGCCGAAGTGTTTTGTTGGCACAGAGTACTGGGTGGGTGGGTTGGTGGATGGGTGAGAGGCTTAGGAAGTTGGTCAATGACTCTGACTGGACGGCTTCATACACATTTTAGTTGTTTGTTGTACTGTACAGAAGTGCAACTTTTACTAAGCCTTTAAACTGTGGAAGGCGTATCCTGTAAGAGGGAGTCGACAAAGCACGTTGATATCATTGATTATCCTGTCAAGATAAGCTTAGCCTAGGTTTAGGAGAAACCTACCGTAGGCTAGGTACAAGCGGAAGCGAGATGACGAGAAGGTTGGCCAAAGAGGATTGCGTTATGGAGCGACACTACAAATAGGAACAAGAAGCAAGATGGATGTACCACCAACAGGGTTACTTGATATAACCACACTACAACTATAGCTACAGAAAATTTTAGATATTTATTATGCGTGTCCACACGCCCCCCTTCGACCTTTCTCTAAAAGTATTCTGTTCTTGCCGAGTGTTGGGCTGAAAAGCCCTAGGATCTTTGTAGAGTTTAAGTCTGAGTAAGTGATGTAATAGCGGAAGCGTTGAATAAAGTCCTTGAACCACCTTGCGCTGGTATGTGAGGGCAAAGTAAGTTGATTAAAGCTAAGAGATACAGGAATAAATATATGAGTACAGAGAATATGAAGAGACTTTGCCCTCATATTCTCTTCATATAATGTCTCTTCATATTCTCCTCTGGGAGAAGCTCCTCCCTGATGTCCACCTCGTTCCCAGAACGAAGATGAGCGAGGATCAGCCCGTCCTCGCTCCCGTCTGTGGCATTAGAAATGCCACAGACCTTGAAAGATTTAATGATGAGCTCTTTGGGCACTGCAGCCCATGCCTTTGAGACCCACTGGAGAACGAGTTTCGGCGGTGGCTTCTTCAGATTGCCTGCAAACAAAGAGTCACCGTCACTAGCCATCAATAAATGCATTTAGGGTAGGATGCAACGAAAGAGGATCACTGTACTCACCCGCCTCCGTCATCAATGTGATGCCTTCCGTGCCGAACCACCGGGAGTAGAGCGTACGCATGCCAGCCTTGAACGACTTGTTCACGCTGACATCCAGTGGCTGCACATACGGGGTGCATCCACCGGGAATCACCACAGGGAACAAGCGGAAGAGGCTGAGCGTCGCCCGCACGGCGGGCGTCAAATGGCCCTTGTACGAGTCGAGGACGAGTAGAGTGGATGGGCGCGGTCCTCGAGTTGGGTCCGTGAACGGGGCGACTACGCGAGTGATCCAGTCTTTCACTAGCATCTCGTCCATCCAGCCCTTGTTTTGGGCTCGCACGACGACATCTGCGACGTGAGGACACATGCAGCCGTTAGAGTGATTGACAGCTTATAATCCATGGCTGCAATTCAGAAACGGCGCTTACCTCGGGGCGTGTAGCAGTTTGGAGTGTTCTTGCGTTTGAACACAACGTAGGGCGGCAGCTTGTCACCCGTGGCAGTGCACGCCAACATTACCGTAATCCTCTCCTTCTCGTAGCCCGCCGTGCGAACATGCACAGTTCTTGTCCCGCGGTGTTCAAGGGTGCGTTCTAGCGGCATCTCCAGGTACACAGGCGTTTGATCAGCATTGATTATGAATGCCGGATCAATCTCCCTCTTCACCCGCATCTGACGGCAGAATTGCCAAAAGCTTTCGCACTTCGGTGCCGCATCTGCTCATGCAGGAAACATGAGGGATTAATGGTGTGTTTGGGAAATCCTGTTAGCAGCTATTTGTGAACGCGTGAGGGACTTCTTACCTGAAGGAAGACGTTGCCCCATCTTCGTCTTCACACGCACGGAAAGCCCCCAGCGACGACGGAATCGAAACGACCACCCGGATGATGCCTGCCACTTCACGCCGTGGCGGTGCTCGCGCATCCAGTCACGGCTCCAAGCCTGCAGCAGGCCCACGGATACAGGCAGGCCACGGCGACGCGCTGCGAGGAAACGGAGGTAGACGCCTGTTTCCATGTCAGGGTGCCGGGAATTCCGTCCGCCACCGCGAAGGCGCTTGCGGCCAGGTGCTGCCTTTTCAAGGAGAGCGCGCGCCTTTTTCCACTCGCGGATCATGGCGGGCTGCACCTTCGCCATGCGCGCAACCGCACGCTGCGAAGGAGGGGGGTTCTCGTCGAACATCGCCAGCCACATCAGCTTCTCGCGGATGGTGAAAGACCGCCGCTTGCGCTCCGTGATTGTCGCACGAGGTGATGGTGGGCGACGGTCGTGATTAGAGTCCGACATGCTAGTTGACGGCTCACTCCCACGCGGGAATGTAGGGACCGGGACCTCAGGCATCCCCAATGAGTCGTCATCATCATCTGCATTGCCTGTAGCGTCGCCATCCCCGAATGTGTCCTCATCTTCCTTGTCTAAGTCGTCATCATCAGCGAAGGGGTCATCCTCCTCGTCGACAGGAACCCCACCGCGACGAAACCAGACAGGAGATGAAGGGGCCCCCGTTGCATCATGCTCTACGTTCGCTTCGCGGGCTGCCTTTTTGCGTGCTGGCCTCGTACCAGTCATCGTTGCTAGACTACTGTGGTCTGTGACTGCCGCGAGCTCCTGCTTTTCAATGTGTCGAGAGAGGGACTCCCGCAGTGCAAAGGGTGTGAATTCACTTGTTCGTGGGTGTGTTGGGATGCACGTCGCAGACTAGTTCGCGCTCCAGTCGTTTTCATGCAACGAGTCGCGCTGAAAGTGAGGTTCCCTGCGTCAAATAAGCGCGCCAAGAACAATGAGTTACATGGATTTGTTCACTGAAGTACACTGCATTGAATCAGAGTTCAGTAACGCGTTCGTCAATATAACACACGGGTGCTATACATTACATCCTTTAATACAACGCCCCCTTTTATTTTTTCAAGCGTTTTAACACAACACCCGGGGCTGCCTATACGGGGGATTACGGTACTTTACTATTGCGGTTCGATACAGTGCGACTCGGGCAACTGCTCAATGTCGAGTCAGTTGTGTGTCCTTGCTGTCGCGCTGCGTCAGGTCAAAGGTCGCTGACCTTTGACTTTCTCGTAACCTCCAGCGGTTACGTTAACTTCCGAGGGTTGACTCGCGATGCTTCGATTTGAGCTGCTTCGCTTGTGTCTTGAGTTCTGACACGACAGAGGCGCTTAAACTATTTGTTCCCAACACTCCCCTTCGCTTCTGGAGTGTCGCTGAAGGTGACGTGGCTTTGTCCAGTCAGCAGCATGCAGTACTCGAACTTCTGTTTTCCGAGCTTCTTGGTCAAGTAGTCAGCTGCCATCTCGGACGTGGGACAGTAGGATAGTTTGAGTTTCCCTTTCTCGATCTCGTCCTTCACGAAGAAGTATTGCAGGGCGATATGCTTCGTTTTGTTCGCGAATCTGCTCTTGTTGGCGATGCGAATTGCAGATTGGTTGTCGCAGAACAAAGTGAAGTTGGGTAACTCGGCTAATTTCGCTTCTTCCAGCAGCTCGCGAAGGTAGAGTCCTTCATTGGTGGCTGGGCAGAGGGCGATATATTATGCTTCAGCTGAAGAGAGAGAGCAATTAGTTCCTGCTTGCTCGATTGCCAGGAGATAGGTCCGATAGGTTCGAGGCGGTAGATGTAGCCAGTGCGGGAGCGCCTGTTATCTGAGTCGCCGGCGTGATCGGCATCGACGTAGCCGATTAGTTTCATCGGCGTAGTTGTATTTTTGTAGTACGTCAGGCCGATCATTGCGGTGCTCACGAAATAGTGAAGAGCGCGGTAGAGTTCTGCTAGGTGTTCTGTTTCGGGCCTCTTGAGATAGGTAGCAAGTTGACTTGCGGAGTAGGACAGGTCTGGCCGGCAGGTGACGGCTGCGAAGAGGAGGCAGCCCAGTTTTCGTTGGTAGTCGCGTATTCCAACGGTTTTGAGTAAGGCGGAACTTCCCTTGCCGTTCCCTGCCGTGTAGCGGTATGGCGTGGAGATAGTAGTGGGTGTGAGCGCGAAGCGTTTGGCGATGGTGTCGGCATACTTTTCGGCGCTGAGGGAGATCGCGTTTTCTTCTTCGCGGATGTTGAGTCCGAGATACTGAGAGACGGTAGTGGAGACCGTGAGTGTGAGGTCCCTCTTCAGCTCCCTTTCGAACCAGGTAGTTATGTTGTCGGTAGAACCGATGTAGAGTAAATCGTCGACGTAGACGATAAGCAGAATGTAGTTGGCGTCTTTGGTGAGTCGGTACATGCCTTGGTTGTGAGGCAGTTGACGGAATCCGATGCGGGTGAGGCGGGTGTTTAGGTGTTGTTGCCATAGCCGTGGGGCCTGCTTGATTCCGTAGAGCGATTTTGGTAGCTGGCAAACCTGATTAGGTTCCCCGTGGGTACCATGTGGGAGCTCAACGAAGATTTCGGCGTCGACGGGTGCGTAGAGGAAGGCGTTAGCAACGTCGATTTGCCGTAATTTTCTTTTCTTTATGGCGGCGATCGCGAGGAGAATTTGGAGTGAGGTGTGTCGGCTAACCGGGGCGAATGTCTCGGTGAAGTCCCGTCCGTGTTCCTGATCGAATCCTCGCACGACCCAGCGTGCTTTGAACTTCTCGATTCTGCCGTCTGCCTTCGTTTTGATGCGGAAGACCCATTTCCCGGTGAGGATGGTCTTGTTCTTTGCCACGCTAACTGGAACGACTTTCCAAGTGTTCCGTTCCTCCAAGGCCTTTAATTCTTTGTCCATGGCTTCACGCCATTTCTCCCTGTGTTCCCTCCCCAGAGCCTGCTGAACTATCGCAGGCTCTTTAGGAAGAGGATGGCCGTGGATTGCGGTGACAAGGCCGAGAATCTGCAGTCCAGTCTGTGAGTAACGGGGGAGTGTTGTGTCCTCGGGATAAGCTGCTTCATCTCCCGCTTCTTGGTCGGTTATGAAATTCGGTCCTATTTTTTCTGCTTCGTTGGTGTTGACTGACGCAGGTGTTACGTAACCATTGTCGGCGAAGTGGTAGAAGACTTCGGTGTTGGCGCTTTCGCGAGGATTTTCTTCGTCCATGGGGACGTTGACGGAGCAGAATGGGAGAGGTCCGGGTTCTTGTGATGCGTTGTCGACGTTCTGCTCGTCCCAGTCTGCTTTGTCCGCTGCTGAGGCAAAGGCTCAGTCACCACGAAAGCCACCTGTGGGGTCCTGATTTTTGTGCAAGTTGGCGAGGTACGTCTGAAGCGTGAGTCGTTGGTGGAAGATCACATCACGTGCTGCTACTGTTTCCTTGGAGTAGACGTCGAAGATTTTCCACGCGTTGTAATTCTTTTCGATGCCGAGGTGTAGTCCCCACTGTGCGCGTTGTGAAAGTCTCCCCGCTCGTGCCTCTGGGGGTCGGTACTGTACCATGCACCTGAAAACTCTTAACATTTTTGTGCTGCCCTGTTTCCCTGTCCACAGCAGATGCGGTGATGCGTTGTTCGGAAGTGAGGACGACGACATCAAGTTGTGCAGCATGACAGCATGGTCCATTGCTGCAGGCCATTGGTGGTTGGGTAGCCGCATGCCACGTAACAGTTTGCGCATGCTATTCTGCAGAGTCCAGTTCATTCGTTTTGCGACACCTTGCTGCTGATGGGCGTAGGGAAGGGAGAGGAGTTGCTTGATTCCTCTTTCCGCCAGGTACAGCTTGAATCACTGAGAGGTGTATTCTCCTCCTCCGTCTGGGGGCTGGTAGGTTACCTGTAAACGTCACATCATACAGCCACACGCACCCTGAGCCTGAGCTTGGGATTGAGTCGGGTTGGCGCATGGCGAGATCCACCTTGAGCCCTTTAACTCTTTGTGGACGGTGAAACCAGAGTCGGATGTGATTCTGGTCAATGCAAATGCGTAATGCAGCATTGTGAGTGCCGGTCCTCCCTTTGCCTGTCCTGCAGTGGAGCAGATGGTTTGGGAGACGTGGGTCAAGTATCTCTCTCGCGTCGTTCTAGTCACATGCAGTGGGCACAAGCTGTGGCAACGCCACGGCTGAGGGGAACTGGCACCGCGACAGGCGGAGGGAGTTGGACAAAGGGAGCGTAGTGAGCCAGTCCTCTGAGGGAGGTCCACGGAGGGATTGCGGGCTCTGGCTGTGTCCGAGCAGGGCGTTCAGCTCTCCTCCAGCAGCATAGAATTGTGTGGCCTGCACGGGTAGGCTCACACCCCACTGCGCGTTGAACGATTCTAAGCCGTCTCAGAGTAGGTGAAGTGAAGCGAGGAGGCAGGCTGTGGCGGTGGTTTCTGTCCGCTACAGCCGGGCGTCTTGGGAGAGCTGCTCGGCTGTTGGGGTTTGGGTGCAGTGAGCCGTTGGTGGCGCTGAGTATGTGCGCTGTTGCGGCCGTTAACGCCAGGTGGCTGGGAAACTGCTCTACGGCTGGGTATGAGAGGCCGAGCCCGCCCAGGGATGTTGGGAGGGAGGTCTGGCGCCAAGGGAGGCTGATGAGGTGGGCGACGTTGAGTTGAAGGTGGTGTCGAGGAAGTGTCGTCCAATCCAGTACGACCCGTGAGTGGCTGCTGCTATAGGACAATGCGGTGACGGGAATGAGGAACTCCCGGGGGCAATGACAAAGGCCCTCGAATACGCCCGCCCGCCCCCACTCTCGATGGCGTTCAAAGCGTTACTGACGTCGAGGTGGAGGGCGGGGTGTGTGTGGATGGATGGAAGGGGAGAACTCCTCTAGGTAGGTTCTGGAGGAGTGGATGATTGCTTCGACCCGCGCCCCTACAATACACCCTTCGTACCGGATTGGGAGGAAGTGTGGGCACACAAAGGGAACACTGGGAAGCAGCGATCAGGAGGGCCGCTTTTGCAATGAGGTGATGAACGACCTTTCTCAAAAGCGCTTAGGCTTGGCCATAGGCGGAGGGTCATTGGTCTGGTGAAGGCTTTTGAGGTGCCTCAAAAGCGCTTAGGCTTGGCGAAGGCAAGGGTTGCCTCCGTGTGGTGAGCCTCCCTGCGAGTGCCATGTTCGCGAGGGCCAGAAGGTGTTAAGGGGGCGTCATATAGGTGTTTGAAGCACATGCCAGTTGCCATGGCGCCGTTGCTGTCCTTGCATACGGAGACGAGAAACCGTTGGTTTCAAAAGGGGATGACAGGTGAGCCTGGGGGCTGGTAGGTTACCTGTCATTTTGGAAGGAAGGTGATGGCGTTGGGGTGACGAGAGTGGAGGGCCTCCATAGTCTCACAGTTGGACGGGCTGACTGGGGGGCTCTCAAGAGCTTCCAAGGCCTTGTCCAGGCTGCCGCGCGTGGCAAGGGATGTTGCTCGAGAGAGCTTCCCAAGGATGTCCGTGGCGGTCTGTGGCAGAAGGGGAAAGTTGATTGCGGCACGTGCGTCAGTGTAGAGCTTGCACTAATGTAGGCATCAGTGTAGAGCTTGCCTGAATTGGGGTAACTGACTGGAGATGATAGCCCAATCCGGTGAGCAGGAGGAAGTGACTCTGAGTGTGAGGCGTGTGAGGAACAGCAGGAGCTTCCAGGCGGGTAGAGAGTCAGGTTTATTAAGGATGTTCGATGATTCAGTGTTGATAAACAGCTCTACATTGTCAGCGAGTTGCGTTGGTAAAAAGAGGGGGGAGGTGTTTGTTTGCTTGGGCCTGGATTGGTCACTGGGGTGGTCTAATTGGAAGGGTGAGATGCGGTTCGGGAAGCGTTCCGACGAGCAGCGAAACCAGTGGTTTGGTTCTCATGTCTGGGCACAAGGGAAATTTCGGTTGGTGTGGAGAGTGGAGATTCAGGGTCACCCTCGCTATTAGAGGTGGGGTACGAACTCTCTAGGGTACGACCTTCAGGATTGGAGCTTCATGCTGTAGCCCTTCGCCTCGGCAGCACTCGCCATCTCCCTCGCTGTGGCCATCTCGGAGGTGGGTCGCGGCCAGGCGCAGCCAGCACGGTGGGATTCTCCTCGGCCGCAGAGGTCATCACCTGTCTGGAAGGACCATGGCTGGCAGAGCAGGCGAGGGGGGACAGCATAGGCGCGCGCAGGGCCGTAGGCGGCCGTATTCGGACCAGCTGGAAACAGCCAAGGCGACGGCGGCGGCGCCCGGCACTCGCGGAGGTTCCTGCTGCCATTCGCGCATTGTGGTATGAGGTAAACAGGTATTGCCTCCTCTCGATATATCGGCTCGCTCGCCAGCGCCCCTTGGACGGACTCCACCAAGGGGAGGGGATGGGAGCTGGTGCACTGCACTGAAGGGGGGGGAAGGGGGGGGGGGGAGGTACGCCCGTGCTCGTACCAGCAGTGTAGCACAGGCCAAAATTGTTCCTGCGTGCACCGCCACCTGTGGTGCATCTGCTGGCGCAGGCCCAGTGGGCGCCTGGGCTCGCTGAGGATCGTGTGGTGGTAGAGCGAGGGATGCAGCAGCGGGGACGGCGGCAAATCCGTCATGTGCAGAGCCCCAGTATCAGAGCCCCGTGCGGTGTCAGTGGGGTGGCCCGGATCAGCGTGAGCTCCCTTTTAGGTGGTGCTTGAGCGTTGAAGGGGGCGCAACTAAGGGGGCACCGCGCAATATGGCCGTGCAAGGGGACATTCATTTGCGCCAGGGGCATGCTCCGGCCTATGTATAGAGGTGGTGGCAGAAATGTGGGGGTGGAGTGGAGTATGCCTGGGGGGCGAGCGATGGGTGACTGTCCCGCAAGGGTGGTGGTGACGGACCACCCCCAGTCCATGGCGTGAATTGTTGAGATGCTCTTGGGGACAACCACACCTAACCCATGAGTGGGAGTGGGTGGAGAGCTCAATGGAGCGGCCGGTGCCTGGTCGGCCGAGGAAGAGGCCGTGGTGTAAATGCTGTAAATGCTGGTGATGGCTGCGTGCCAGTGCTTCGTCTTATTGATAAGACCGTGGTGTGGTTGTTGGAGAGAGGGGGCGTAGCAGAGCAGTTGTATGGCGGAGCGGAGGCGCCTGCTGCATGGAAGGCTAGCATAGAACCGCCGGCACCGTAGTAGGTCCATGGAGCTGCTTCAGGCCGTCCATGGTTGCTCACGACTTGCGTGTGTGTTTTATCTGCATTTTAAACATGTTGCAGTCTGTACATAGTGTGCTGTCGTCCTGTACAGCGCGGCCGAAGCCCGTGGCCAAACTACTGAAGACAAAACAAAAGAAATGTCTCACCCTCACTATTTACTCTCCTCCTCTATCCCACCTGCCTTTCTTCGTTCCGTATTCCCCCTCCACCAATTACTTCTCAAACGGTCCTTTGTATCAATGAGGAGATTGGTACAGGCTGAGTGCGCTAGAGAAGACAATGTCTGCTAACATGCAGTTCTGACTCCATACATCCGTGTGGAGAAGAAAGCACTGCATGCATTTCCAAATCTCCGTAAGGCATTTGCAAGCCCCTTCCCTGCACCTCCCCTTCCCTTCCCCTTCCCCTTCCCCTTCCCCCTTCTCTACACCAACCTCCACGTTTCCCCTTCCATACACCTTCCTCCACCGCCCCAGGCTCAAGATGCCACAGCGCGCATGAGTGCGTGTGTGGAGAAAGAGGGTGCGCATGCGTGTGTGCGGAAGCTGTTTCGAGACATGCCGGACCTGTGCGGATCATTCTATGCTTACTTCATTCAGGTGTGTTGTCAGTCTACACATGCATGATAATGACTGATTAATTGCTTGATTTCCTAGGCTGATAATTAATTGCTTATGGGTTGAACACACGATGGGTTGAGCACACGGTGGGTTGAACACACGGTGGGTTGAACACACGGTGTGTGTTCAATGAGTTGAACACACGGTGGGTTGAACACACGATGGGTTGAACACACGGTGGTTTGAACACACGGTGGTTTGAAGACACGGTGGGTTGAACACACGGTGGGTTGAACACATGGTGGGTGGAACACACGGTGGGTTGAACACACGATGGGTTGAATAAACGGTGGGTTGAACACACGGTGGGTGGAACAAAGTGGGTTGAACAGAAGGTGGGTTGAGAACACGGTGGGTTGAACACACGATGGGTTGAACATACCGTGGTTTGAACACACGGTGGGTTGAACACAGGGTGGTTTGAACACACGGTGGGTTGAACACACGGTGGGTGGATCACACGTTGGGTGGAATACACGGTGGGTTGAACAGACGGTGGGTTGAACACAAGGGGGGTTGAACACACGGTGGGTCGAACACATGGTGGGTTGAACACACGGTGAGTTGAACACTCGGGGGGTTGAACACACGGTGGGTTGAACACATGGTGGGTTGTACAGATGGTGGGTTGAACACACGGTGGGTTGAACACACGGTGGGTTGAACTGATGGTGGATTGAACACACGGTGGGTTGAAAACATGGTGGGTTGAGCACACGGTGGGTTGAACACATGGTGGGTTGAACACACGGTGGGTTGAACACACGGTGGGCTGAACACGGTGGGCTGAACACGGTGGGCTGAACGACACACGGTGGGTTGAACACATGTTTGAGAGTACGACGACTTATGCCAGCAATGCTTGTTTGAGTTCACTTAATTATGCTATTTCTAGCATATGATAATTATATGCATGATTTCCTAAGCTAGGCGCTTGATAATTAATTGTTTGATTACACATGCATGATAATGGCTGATTAATTGCTTGATTTCCTCTCTCCCCCGTCCCCCCCACTGTCAGGACTGATTCCACTCCTTCCACCCACAGGCCTTCTCTTTCTCCAGTTGAGGACTTACATGGCCAACCCACACCGAGCCACACCACCAGCCCCTCTCAACACACCCCAGTCCCCTTCATCCACTCCCACCCCCCCGTCTCCTCCCCTTTTCAGGACTGGTTCCGCTCCTTCCATCCCCAGGCCTTCCTCTTCCTGCGGTTCGAGGACTACATGGCCAACCCCCGCCCACACATCGCCCAAACCCTCGACTTCCTTGGCTTCCCCTCTGCTGACGTGGCGGAGGAGCAGTGGGCAGGGATCGTCGACCTGGAGCGCGTGGAGCAGCGGCCGGAAGGCATGGCGAGGGAGGAGCTGGATGGGGTCACAAGGGAGTACCTGGGGGCGTTCTTCGCGCCTTTCAATGCAGATCTGGTGCGGTTGCTGCGTGATGAGAAGTATTCGTGGAAGAGAGGGCAGAGGTGATAGGGGATGGGTGGAGAGGAGAGAAAAAAGGGGGGAGAAGGGGGGGGGGGGGGGGGGGGAGGGGGGGATGGGGAGAGGGGGGTTAGGGAGGTAAGGAGGTGGGGGTGAGGGGAGTAATGTGCCGAAGTGTTTTGTTGGCACAGAGTACTGGGTGGGTGGGTTGGTGGATGGGTGAGAGGCTTAGGAAGTTGGTCAATGACTCTGACTGGACGGCTTCATACACATTTTAGTTGTTTGTTGTACTGTACAGAAGTGCAGCTGTTACTAGGCCTTTAAACTGTTGGAAGGCATATCCTGTAAGAGGGAGTCGACAAAGCACGTTGATATCATTGATTATCCTGTCAAGATAAGCTTAGCCTAGGTTTAGGAGAAACCTACCGTAGGCTAGGTACAAGCGGAAGCGAGATGACGAGAAGGTTGGCCAAAGAGGATTGCATTATGGAGCGACAGTACAAATAGGAACAAGAAGCAAGATGGATGTACCACCAACAGGGTTACTTGATATAACCACACTACAACTATAGCTACAGAAAACTTTAGATATATATTATCACATGTCCACCCGCCCCCTTCAACATTTCTCTAAAAGTATTCTGTTCTTGCCGAGGAGCGGGAGCAAGAACGATCGACTGCTCGCCCACCGAACTAGAGGGGTCTAGGCAAAATATTTTAGAAGTTTATTCATGCAACGTATGTAGGTAGATTTGGCGTACCACAGATTCGAAGATTGCTGAATACATATTGAAATATGTTCCTCATGAAGAGGCTGAAGAATAGGCCCTACGATATCAGGAATTTTTCCCTGAAATTCCTGATTTTCAGGGATTTTTTTGTACCTACACTGATTTTTCAGTGTTGAGAATTTTGTGACACTGATTTTTCTGACTTTATTTCATAGTTGACACTGATTTTTCAGTCTTTTATCGAAGTGTACACTGAATGCACATTCCGAATCCTTCCTGTCAACCAACATTCTCAGGTTTTTAAGGTACAAAAATGTGAAAGATTGACAGTTTAGAGGATAATTTCTCAGTGGTTGGTGATTTCCTACCGACGGGTAAGGGCCCGGTTCGAATCTCTCCTCAGTCATGGTTCGTCAAGCCTACCCTTGTATTCAAGATTTTATTTTGCTTAAAATTTCAGGCTTTGATCTTCGGGAACCCTGAAAATTCAGTGTTTTTTTTTAGGAACACAGAAAATCAGGGTTTTGTTCATAGGGACCTGATGCATCAACGTCCCTTAAAGTGAATCTGAGGGTCTGCTGAAGAATTGGCTTATCTTGGAGAGATTTCAAATGATGTGCTGCGTCTGGCCCAATTGAATCCGGCCGTGCAGAATAGAACTAGGAATGATGGATTGAACTAGGCAAGAAGTGAGTACAAGTAGGGGAAACCTAACCTTAAAGTGTTGTATTCACTAAGGAGTGACCCTACTGTAGCCTAGAGATACAATTGTAATCTGACACACCCCCATAGGCAAAGTAGGGGACAGCAAACACAACAAGCGGTCACAAGACGAGTCTGCAGAAGAGAACACCGCTTAGGGTGGATCACAAAGTCACCACACATTCTGAGCACAAGCAAGTGGCCACAAGGCCAGTTCACATGCAGAGGTATATAATAGCGAGGAAATACACTAATCAAAACCTAGCAAGATAAAACATGCAGGTATAAAGATGTATAGCAGTGTACAATAAGAGCAAGTCAAGCAACCAACAGGTGAGGCAGAGTGGGCACAAGCCCAAGAGCAGTGCAGAAATGGTGATGATCACCAGCCCCAAGGGCCTTGGGGAAGACATCAACAGTGCTGGCCCGAGAGGCCACGTAAGCAAGGCGCAGCTGACCACGCTGCTGCAGCTCACGCACAAGGAAGTAGCGAAGAGCAATGTGCTTCATTCTGTGCTCCAGTCTCTGCTCTGACACAAGGCAAGCATTGCCTTGTTGTCGACGTACAGAACAGAAGGAGAACGAGGCCACTCCCCCAAGTCGGTCAGCAGGTAGGTCAGCCAGCGTAGCTCCTACGCAGCCATGGCCCCAGCGTAGATCTCGGCCTCACAGCTGGAACCAAGCACAGAAGAAGAACGAGTGGACCTCCACGAGACAGAACCAGAGCCAAGACTGAAGGTGTAACCCTGTGACGAACGCTGAGTGGTCTGGTCGTCAACCCAAGAAGCGTCAGAGTGTCCTGTGAGGACCACCGAACCCCGTCCTCCAAGCACAAGCCCCATGCCCGTTGTGCTGCACAAGTAACGCAGTGCCCTCTTCGCAGCATCAAAGTGCACCTTTCGGTGTCGACCAAGTGCCACGTAGCGAGCTAGGAGGCTGAGAGGGTACGCGAGGTCAGGTCGTGTGCACGTCATTCGCTACATGAGGTAACCCACATGCTCTGGGTACGGACCACTCGGCTCTACGGACTCGTCCGAAGGTGGAGCTGAGAGCGAGTGGCCGGTAGCCAGAGGAGTGGGCTGTGGCGAGGACCAAGTGAAGCGGAAGCGCTGAAGAATCTGGTGCACCATGTGTCACTGAGTCAGGGTGATGGTGCGCCGTGGTCTGTCCCGGGTGATCTGCAAGCCAAGATAGCTCCGCAGCTCACCCAGGTCAGTGCAGGTGTGTCTCTCCTGCAGCTCTGCCTTAACTAGGGCCAGTGCCTCAGTGTAACCAGTAGCAAAAACCAAGTCGTCGACGTACACGAGGATGTAGAACGGAGGTAAAATAGTGTCGGTGCGTAGAAACAACGACGGGTCAGCAGTCGAAGGAGCAGACCCAAGAGCCGCAAGTGTCGTCTTCAGTGTGTCGTGCCACTCACCGGGCGCTTGACGCAGGCCGTACACTGGTCGTCGTAGGCTCTATTGGGTACCCTTAGAATACAACCCAGTGAAGTACTGTGGACGGCGCAACCAGATGGCGTCGTGAAGGCTACCTTGCAAGAAAGCTGTCGAGAAGTCGAGGGAGTGCAGTTCGTAGTCACGCTGTGCTGCAACGTGTAGCAACGCTCGAAGAGTGGGCATCTTCGGGGTGGGGGAGAAGGTCTGAAAGAAGTCGACCCCCTCACGCTAACTGAAGCCTCGAGGAAAGTAACGTGCCTTGAAGGCAGGCGGAGAACCTGGTGGCCGCTTTACCTTGAAAATCCACATGCCACTGACGATGTTCGCCCCAGGTGGGGGAACCTCGTCAACGTAGGTGCCTGTGGACTTCCAGGAAACCATCTTTGCGTCCATGGCTGTCTGCCACTGAGAGGAATACTCACCCAGAATCGCCTCCCTGTAGGAGCGCGGGGTGGGGATGTCAAGTGCATCCGGGTCTCCCTCAGGGGCAAGCAGTGTGAGAGTACGACGGCTTATGCCAACTATCCTTGCTTGCCTTTACTTTATCATGCTATTTCTAGCATAGGATAATTATATGCATGCATGAATTGCTTGATTTCCTAGGCTAGGTGCTTTCCTATATTTTAGTATAGTTATAGCACTGAGCTAGGTTACGTGCACCGAATTCTGGGCTTTTCGGTTGCCACCAAATTGCCTTCTACCGAATTTGGTAAGGGTCTGTTCCGGACGCTACGCGGCCAGCGGAACCTTCGCGTAACACATGGTTACGGGGCCTTGTGTCGAGCCTATATATAGCCTCGTGTTGTACCCAGGTGAGCATTCAATTCGATTCAATTCACATTCTCTTTTCTGAGCTGGATCCTAGATCCTCACACTTGGTAATCACAGCGGGTTTACACGCGAGGTCTTCAACCGCTTAGTTCCGGCCTTTAAAAACCGCGGGGGCGACGACGAAAGCGCCGATACGGGTATGTAAAACCAGTTCCGCACAATTTTTCTAAGTCCCCCTCGTTTCGGTTTTCGAACACCCCTCAGATTTCCTGGTGGAAAGGTCGGAGTTTCGACCGTTCGATCGAGTTTCATCTCAACGGCCCAAAGAATTTCGCCCAAAAAGTTGGAATTTGGATTGTCGGATTGATTTTCTCCTCAACGGCCAAGATCGGACATGAATTTCGCTCAAGGAGAGATTTACACGACCTACAGAATTCGCGCTCGTCAATCCTATAGTCAACTTGACTCATAGTAAGTCGACCAGCACCTAGAATTTGATTGTTTTTGTCGCGCATCTTCTTGTAAATCGCCAAATGGAGGGAAAAGGAGATATTTCAGTACAGAGAATTGCGGGGTTATGTGCTGAGCATAAGCAAATACATGCGGCGCTCCCACGACTCGAAAAACTCCTTGCGAACCAGTCGGCAACCGCCATAGCAGCAGTGACAACAGTAGCAGCAGCAGCAGCAGCAGAAACACCGACAATTCTACATGCGACAACGGCAGCAACTACAGTTAACCTCGAAGCAGTGAGGCCGAGGCTACCGGAGGCGTTCGATCCTACAGTAAAAAGGAACGACGTTCGTGGATTTGTAGCTGAACTCGAAATTTACTTCGAAGCTATTGGATGCACGACCCCGACAAAAGATGCAATGCGCATACGGCTCGCAGCAACACTTTTACGAGCCCCAACTTAAGAGTGGATCAACAACTGAATAGTCCAAGGCAAGGGGACGTGGGCGCAGTTTCCGGCAGCACTGATCAAACAGCTCGACACGTTGAACAGTAGCTATCTACGGAACATGACGTAACAAGCCAACTAGTGGCATGGGGCGATTGGCACCACCCACGAATGCCGACCCGATGGAGAACAATGAGGGCGATGTGGAGCAGCGGCTAGCAAATAATGAGACGTGCAAATTTTGCGGTGCTACAGGACATCATATCTTGGCGTGTTGGAAAATTAAGAGAAGGTGTGCGGAGCTGAAGGACAAAAACAGTGCGGCACCCCCAAAGCAGAAAACGGACAACGTGGCAACTTCGGAGAGGGCGAAAAAAGGTGAATATGGTGGCGCAAATTTAAAACGTCACGACCAGCTGGCACCAGGGGAAATCGCCGAGACTAATGGAGGATCCTCGAAACAAGACCCTGCACCGACTGAGAAACTCCAGCCATATGCCCCGA